AAAGGGAAGAAGGTATCAGGCAAGTTGAAGAATATGTAGAAGGAAATGCTGGGTAAGTGGAGAAGTGAAGACATAAATTTGGTGAGGAGACAGTAAACAAGTGGGACGGTTAATAGACTGTAGGCCCTGCGGATGTTGTGAAATAGAGTTGGGATAAGAGAAAGAATGCATTGGATCACATGGCATAGAGCTTATTGAAGGGTTGCAGGTATCGGTAATGCCAGCTGTGATTATGCGAATAAGAGGCTGTGGTGAGATGGAGATAAGATCTTGAGGGGAATGGAGGTCAAAGCATTGAGAGACCAGAATGTTGCTAAGTGTTGAAAACGCAGACATTTTAACAGAGTCATGGAAAGAAGTGATAGGGAAACCAGAGTCAAGTCTTCAAAGGCTGACGGAGAATCTGTGCTTTGGGGTGGAGTCGGTAGATGACTAGAATTACAAGTGGTAGTCTGGTCTCATGACTTGAGATTGAAGTCTGGGGAGTGGTTTGGAAGGATCCAGAAAGAATGATCCGGAATAGACAGCAAATTAAAGTAGCAATGAGGAACAAAGAGAACCTCTCCTGTTCTTGTTGTTAAGTGCTGTCAAGTTGGTTCCAACTCATAGAGACTCTGTGTAGGATTTCCAGGGAGCAACTGGTGAGCTTGAACCACCGACCTTGCAGTTCAAACCGACCTTACAGGTCAACGCATTAACCCACAGCACCACACCAGGACTCTGAGCCCTTCCCAGCTCTCCCATAAGGAATTTATTGGAGGAATAACACCCACCACTTGAGAAGCTATGCTATTGTTGAGTGCTATTGATTCAGTTCCAACTCATGGTGACCCTGTGTAGGGTTTCTGAGGAGTGACTGGTGGGTTTGAACCTATTGACATGTGGTTATCAGTTCAGTGCTGATAGTGCAACACCACAAGTCCTAGTGTGGTGCTGCACTATAAGCAAGGGATAGCAGTGGCCTCAAAGGAGAACCAGGTTTCCTCTAGGGTAATAAGGTGAAGGGACTGTTCAGAAAAGAATTGGAGGTTATGGGGGTTATTGCTGGTGATAGTCAGTGGGCTTGGGCTCTAGAAAACAAAGTGGACCCATTCAGAGAAGGGAGTAGAGATGAAGTTAGATTTGGGGATAGACAGAGGCATAGAGGAATTAGAGTTCAGGTGTTGGGGGTGACCTGGGAGTCAGGGTGACTGAAGTTGGGTGTAGGGTACAATGGCATTGATGATCTCCATGGAAGAATGTGGGGGCACTGTCAGTGCTGTACCTTGGGAGGAAGGAGGTAGGGGATCTTATTATGATCGGAGCCTAATGTTTCAAGCAATCTAACACAGAGGCATGGAGAACTTAACCACTCAGCTCTTTTGGTTCCAAAAAAGGTGTTCATTTTGATGTGAGAAAAAAGTTAATGATTGTGTAGCTGAAAACATTTTTTGGACTTTGCATTACATTGACATTAAGACATTTCTTTGTACAGCCTTAGGATTCCCCAGCAGAAAGATAACCATGATGTATACATTCATTCTAAATGTTCTCCTGGGGGAAGAATGGCATTTTACAGATATCGTTTGTAAAATGGGGGAAAGAGGGTTGCAGTGGGGCGGCGGGAGGAAGTTCTTGGCACTGGGCACAGATTCCGTGCTCAGTAAAGACAAACTGTCTGATTCCCTCTGCCTTATTGAATGCCCTTTGCTCTCTTGCCTGCTGATTCTTTCTTGGATGTTACTTAACTTCCTTATCTGTAAAATGGGGATGATCATAATCCCTACTTGACTGGAAAGTTGTGATAATTTAACAAGATTTAAACCAAACCCACTGTCCTCCAGTTGCTTTCATACTCCTAGCAATCCTCTGTAGGGTTTCCGAGATTGTAAATCTGTATGGGAGCAGACAGCCTCATCTTTCTCCCGAGGAGCAGCTGGTGGATTTGAATCGCTGGCCTTGCAGTTCGCAGTCCGATGCTTATCCCACAGCGTCACCATGCCTCCTCAGTCAAACAAATTGTTGTTGCTCGTAAGTTCTGTCGAGTCTGTTCCGACTCATAGTGACCCTGTACGAGGTTTCCGAGGAGCAACTGGTGGGTTAACTGTCGACCTTGTAGTTGCAGTCAAGTGCTTATCCTAGAGTGCCATACCAGGTCACTATAGCGCCACAACAAGCCCTTTAAACAGAGCTTCCGTCTCTCTCCATCCATTCATTCGTGGAAGTTTACTTTGATGGAACTGCACAGCATACAATGAACCCTGATGTAAGCTGTGGATTTTAGTTAGTAATATTAATATTATGGGTGTGGCATTGGTGTGGTCCTGTGGGTTACTGTGCTGGGCAGCAAAGCCAGTTTAAATGGCAAGGTCGGTGGTTCAAGCTCACCAGCTGCTCTCTATACAGAGTTGCTATGGGTTGGAGCTGACTCAATGGCACTTAACAACTACAATTCTTTCATCAGTTGTAACATTTGTTATAGTAATGCAAGATGTTAATAATGGAAACTTGTGGGGAGTGTGTATTATACAGGAGTATCTGTGTCATATTTCTGATCCTACAACACCACACCAGGACTCCATTATGAGTCTTGGGTGAATTAATATTTAACAAAATGCTTTTAATAGTTCCTGGCACAGAAGATGTACTCTATAAGTGTTTGGCATTCCTAGATGGTGCAAACAGTTAACACACTAGTCGGTTGACCAAGACGTTGGTGGTGTGAGGCCACCCCGAGGTGCCTTGGAAGAAAGACCTGGCAATCTCCTTTAGAAAAATCAGCCATTGGATACTATGGAGTACAGTTCTATTTTGACACACATGGGGTCATCAGGAATTGGAATTGACTTGATAGTAACTGGGTTAAAACATTTCACAAACATAAAGTGTCAGCATAATTATTTTCATTTTGCTGATGCCAAAACTAGGGTGAAGGAGGTTAAGTCCCTTGCTTGAAGTCCCAGATTTATTAAGTGGCTGAAACAAATCTAGAACCCAGATTTGTCTGACTCCAAGGTTTTTGCTCTCAACTGCTGTTGCTACACTGCCTCTTTGGACATGCCAACAGGCAAATTGCCTTCTTGGAAGGCTATAAGGGGTGGGAGAAGTAAGTGGGCAGCCTGAGTCCAGGTGGCTGTGAACAGCAACTGGAGTCTGAGAGTTGGTCCAGATACACACATTCTAGAGGACTGTTGTGGCTGATGGTCCCCTGCTTTGGTTCTCTGTTCCCTACCACAGGACAGTCTACATTCACAGGCCCAGTGGAGGGGAGAGATCAATTTCCTTTGGTATGAAGAGTTCTGTTTGCAACCGGAGAGCAGAACCTTCCTGGAACTCTTTCCTCCTTCCCTGTTTTCTGGGTAACCTCAGCAAGGCATTTAAGCTTTTGCATCACACTTTCCTCATTTTTCCAGTGAGGAGGGTGATAAGTTCATTGCTTGTCTCATGGGGATTTAATGAGAATTTAATGGGACATGAATATGAAAACATTTGGCAAAATACAAATAGAATGGGGCCCGAAAATTAAGTTAGTAGGATGATCACAGCCCCCCGCCCTACCCCACCACCACATACACAGGCCACATTACTTTGAGGGACTAGTGTGGGCCTCTCAGGCCTCCATAGCTATCTCATGTCATAATGCCCATTGTCAAATCCCATGACCTTTTCCAGCTGTTAGAGTACCTGTATTTTAACAAGATGGATAAGGAAGCTTGAAACTTCATCTGCTTTTGGGAGTGGGTAGTTTTTACATTTCCCTCTATGAGCATCCTCTGAGTCTCTGGGAAACTTTTCTTCTGCATGGATTTGTATTTCCGGGAACCAGAGCCACTGTCCATGGCCCACCGTTTTCCTAGATCCTATTCTGGGAGCTCTGCCATCCTTTGACTTGGCCTCCTATGTCTGGAAACCTCTATGCCTCTTCTCATTAGCGCACAGTCTTGGTTATGTGTGTGCCCTCTAGAGATCAGGGAGGCAGCTGATCCCTTCCCTTGGGTGTCCTTGTCTCTCTGGTTTCCCCTTGGTGTGCATTTGTGTTCCGTATGTGTGTTGAGGTCTGTGTGGGCCATAGAGGCCAGGCCTCTTGCCAACCGCTGAAGTTCTTTTCTCTCTCAAGAACTAAGTCACCTAGTCTCTCCCACGTTCTGTCTGCTTCTAAGCTCTTCAGCAAGATACCCATCCCAGGCAGAAACTGTGCTCTGGTTTGGTGATCCATTGCAGAGAGATGGAAAACGGGAGTCAGTGAGAGAGAGTGTGTATGCTTTTGCATGAAAGAACTTGGATCAAGGGAGGGTGGTGAATTTCTTTTTGGCATGCTATTTCAGAATTGGCCCAGCTGCCTGATCTTTACTCAGAAGTAGGACTAGCCCTGGACTGACCTCTAAATATTCAACAGGGAAACATTTTATTCTTAGATTTAGTTCCTACCCGACCAAGCAATCAGTTTTTTAATCTGGAAAATGGGTATAATGAATCTTTAGGATCTTCATGTCAAATGGGAAATAAACTTTTAAATCATTCACCATCTACTCACCAGGAGCAAGAAGTGACATAAGATAGTTTTATCAAGTATTTTCTGCAGAGTACTGAGTGTTGTTAGGAGTTTAAAAAAAAAAAAAAGTCACTGGTTTGGTAAATTTCAGAAGCATTAAGTTAAACGATCTTAAACTGGTTTGTTACTCATCTGAGTAGGGACCACTCAGATTCTTAATATGCTAACAAAGCCACCAACACGCATGGTTACCCTCCAAGGGTGGTGGGGGGTATATATGTTAAAGAATCGTTCTCAACATTTTAACCAAACCTTTTTAGTAGAGCACTTTTCAGAGATGATCTGTGCAACATACATGATCTCTGCAACATACACCTAGGTCATAAATATGTCCATTTCATCCCCCCTCTTAATTGTGAATGAAGAGGAACTGATGAAATGCATGGGACTGCTGAAAACGGGGGTCCTAAGATGTTCAACTTCTGAACCTAGTGAGATCTAAAACTCCTCTCTTCTCTCTTCCTTACAGCTCCCCTTTGAATTGGAAATTTACTACATTCAGCATGTTCTTCTTTACGTGGTGCCCATCTACTTGCTGTGGAAAGGAGGTAAGGCCAGAAAAACCCATTCGCATGCCACCCCACCCTTACTCCCTTCCATTTCCGAAGTCACCTACCAGGGATCTTGCGCTAGTGTTTGACTGGCTTGCACTAGCATGCTTCATTCTGACAACAGGCAGTAGGAAAATGGACATGGATGGGACCTGCAAGGAGTCTGGGGTCTTTTGAGAACCAGCCCTTGTGGGTGAGCATGATACTGCTAATTGCCTGTCATAGGACTTTGGCTTTGGGCTTTTTGTGTTGGTTTAGTATGGAGATCTCTACCACTCTTTAAGGAGCTCTGGTAGCATAGTGGTTATGAATCGGGCTGACCTCAGGGTCAGCAGTTTGAAACTACCAGCTGTTCCGTGGGAGAAAGATGAGGCTTTCTGCTCTCCCCAAAATTTACAGTCTCGGAAACCCTGTACAGGGTCGCTATCAGTCAGAACCGACTCCACGGCACATAACCACCCCCTACTTCACTCAGTATGCAGTACAGAGTAAAAGGAGTGATCGAAGTCACTTAGTCCTCTCATGAGAGGGACCTTTTGCTTTTATACATTGTAAGGTTCTTCTCAAAACCAACAATATTGAAAGGGGCAAAAGCTCAGGGTTTGGGGGATTATGGGGTTGAGGGTAGAGGCCGGTGAAAGAACAGTGACTCCATGTAAGATGAACCATTGAAAACCTTCATTTGGTCAAGAGGGAGACACAGAGCATAGACAGGAAGTTGATTCATTTGTGACCTCACAATAACCCTGAAGTTGTACCCTCCCTCTACTGTGTAGTTATCCAAAGGGGATAGGAGGTCCTCTCTCTGTACCCTTTAAGCCTATGTTGTGAGAGTCATTCTCTCTCAGTATTCTTTTCTTCCTGGAAAACCGTAAAACTGGAAGATAGTCTTAGCCACGAGCTTCTCCCTCTTTGATGCTGGGCATTTTCTGGGAAACCGTCCCAGGCAGAAGGGGTTTCATCTCTATTGCACTAAAAATGGTGTAGGGCATGTGGACCCTTGAACCCACTGGAAGATGGTTTAGGGGTTCTGCTAGGTTTGTCTACTTCTTGGTTTATGCTTTCTTCGTCTAACTCGAATTCTGGTAAACCTTCTGAACATGCACTGTGAGATACTCTCCTAGAGTTCTCAACCAGGGACGTGTTAGAGGATGGATGCCATTCATCTCCGTGGAATATACTTATCGTCAAGTGCCTTGCTCCTTGTACCTGTATTTGTGGTGTGGTGCTGTGGGTTAATGTGCTGGACGGCAAAGTCTGTTTGATCAGAAAAGTCAGTGGTTCATGCTCACCAGCTGCTCCTCGCTATGGGTCGGAACCAACTTGATGACTCTTAACAACAACAACCTCTAAATATTCTTGGAAGCTGTTTTAACCCTGTGTAGCCACTTGGGGGCTCACACTGTCTAAGAGCACTTCCTTTTAAATTGCTCTAACAGTACCTCTCCTCTAAGCTGGTGTGGCACTGTAGGATAAGCACTCGACTGCAGTGTTGGTTTGAACTGCAAAGTCATCAGTTCAAATTCACCAGCCACTCCTCAGAAACCCTATACAAGGTTATTATGAGTCGGAGCCAACTCGATGGCACTTAACAACAACAACAACAAAGTCCAATATCTGAAGGTTGGTACCATTTCTCAGCTCTACTCTCTGTGGCACAAGGAAGCAGCCTCCTAACTTTCAAGCCTGAGAGATACAGTTATTCTCCATTGAACCAGGCAGACAGGCTCTAGGCTCTGACCACTTATTGTACATGGGCTCTGAGTATGTGTTGAGAGGATTCCTGAGTTCCGGCCAAATGTGTGTGGCTATTAGTTAAACATATTGGTTCTCTGGGGGCAGTTATAAAAATCTGTCAGATAGTTGGGCTAGACTCGTCTGATATGGAAAATACCAAGCAGGAAACCCCTTCCCCCACAACAAAAACCAAGCTGGGAAGTCATGCCCTCTAGAAGTGGCTAATATCACCGAACTTTGTTAGGGAGAACTAAGCAAGGAAGTAGGTGGAGTCTTGGTGTGGCGCTGTAAGATAAGCTTTGAACTGCTAACCACAAGTTTGGTGGTTCAAACCCACCAGCCTCTCCTTGGAAACCCTATACAGGGTCACTATGAGTCAGAACCAACTTGACGGTACTTCAGTAACATAGTGGTACTTAACAACAAACAACAACAATTAAGGAAGTAAGGTTAATTCCAAGTAAGTCTTAATTCCAATTCATTTTTACTGTTATGGATTCTTTCCCAGCTCCTGTGGTCCACGGTCCTTAGAAGAAGATAGAATAATAGTAACAATAATAATACCCACAGTAAATATCCCTGACTACTTTTTATTGAGTGCTTCCTATGTCAGAGATACATACTTGGCATGTTTAGTGTATTTTCTCATTACAAATAGCCTCGGTCATCCTCCTTTGGCAAGGCTCAGAAAGGTTAGATACCTTGCCCACAATCATAAGGAATAGAGCCAGAATTCAGAACTCATCCTAGATTCCCTCCAAGACTGGTTCTTTTTCCCATATACCATACTGTCCTGAAGGATAGACGCCTGTCTTCAAACTACATCAAATTGTGAGTCCCTCCCCCTCATTCAACATGAAACATGCCAGAGAAGGTACTGTAGAAGTGTAATTTGATTTCAGAAGCCTAGTCTACCTTTTTCCTTCTTCTCTAGGAAGATAATTTAATCTTTTTAGGGCAGATCTTATTGATAGCCCCATTCTCTAACTGATGGGAGAAATGATGCTTTGTTACTGCTGATAACTCCTAGGCACCGTAGCTCAGTGAGGATTTAGCTTACAGGGCACCTTGGAGTGATTTAATTGAGCAGATCTGTGGCTCCAGACCCTGAGGCAGACATTCAAATGCTCCCACAGGACTTGATGGGTCCCATCATCTTCTATCTTGCCTGCACTGAACTGTGGCGAGGCCTCAGCTATCTTTCCAGCTCTTTGCTACCATCTGCTGTTTGCTTGAGAAAACTTTGAATTTCCTAAGGCTGGTTTCTTCTGGGCTCCTAGGACTAGAACACACAGGCCTTGCAGAGGGGGAATGGATCAGGAGTGAACAGTGGGAGGAGTCTTCTTGTTGTTAAGTGCTTTCGAGTTGGTTCCTATATAATGGCCCTATATAGGGTTTCTGAGGAGCAGCTGGTGAGCTTGAACTGCCAACCTTGTGGCTCAAACCAACCTTGCAGTCCAATGCATTAACCCACAGCACCACACCTTTGTTGTTGTTGTTGTTAATGTGCTTTCGAATCAGTTCTGCCTCATAGTGACACTATATAGGGTTTCTGAGGAGCAGCTGTTGAATTTGAACCGCTGACCTTGTAGTCGAATATGCATCCTACTGCACCATACCAGGACTCCCCTGTAAACCAAGATAACTGATTAGTTTAGAGCTTCTGTTCCCTAAAAGTCTTTTACATTTTCTAGAAACATACGGCTCAGGGATTTGTTTTGTTTTGTTTTGTTTTAACCTTATGCAAGATAGCTCTCCTATAGATACCTCCCTGATCCAGAAATCCTATGTTTCTGGAAGGTAAGGCCCTCCTTGAGCACATAGTGCCTCTTTGTGGTTTGGGGCTGGGGGAGTGAAGCTTCCTGGGAATCCCATTCTTTCCTCATTCCTGCAGGCCTTAGGCACACCACAGACTCCTTTCATCCTCTAGCTTCACTCTGCTATTCTCTGAATTCCTCCCACCCCATTGCCTTTATCCACCTGGAGCTATATTTCTGGTGAACCACCCCCTCACCCCCCCCCCAACACACACACACACAAAGTCCTTCTCCTTCTTGCCTAAAGCTCCCTCTAATGGAAACTGCTCTATTGGCCCCGTCCGCTACGCCTCCCAGCTCCCCACTGTGTCTTCTTTTTTTGAGCCTGCCATGCCAGTTTAATGAAATGAGTAAATTTATAGCTTTACTTGCATGTAGAAAAGTGTAGAATAGGAAATAAGTAGGTATAAAACAGTTGTATGGCAGAATATCACTTTTCAAATTTTATCCACTTTAAAAAAATTCAGTTACCTAGAAATAATTGCCTCTAGTTTAGCACATTTAGCAGCTTGGACATTGAAAATACTATTTCAAGTCTGTTTTTATAATGACTGAGTAGAAAGTCAGAAAACTGTGCCATACATGATCCGCTATTACCATGAATCAAAGAACCACAGGACTTCAGCTTAGGCTACAGAAGGCTTAAGGAGCTCTGGTAACATAGTGGTTATGAATAGGGCTGCTAATCTCAAGGTCAGCAGTTTGAAACTACCAGCTGTGCCGTGGGAGAGAGATGAGAGTTTCTGTTTCCATAAAGATTTACAGCCTCGGGAACCCTATGCAGGGTCGTTGTGAGTCAGAACTGACTCCACACAGAAGGTTCATGATGCTACATCGTTAGAGCTTGAGCAATCATTCTCTTCATCCATCTGAATGTAACATTGAATGTGGCTGATTAACACCCGCAAGACCCTGATCATTCAGGGCCAAGAGACAATATTAAAAAACCAACCAACCAAGAAAACAAAACCAAAAAAATCCTAACATTAAACAACAACAATTAACAAAACTCATTTAGTCAAGAACATGGTCTTTAGAACTGAGCTAGCCAATAGGACAGAAAATGAACTAGGAAAGCTTCCAGGTTTATAAGGGGGGATTTTTGTAGACATTAGATTTTGAATGATAATATAAAATTCATGTCCTATATTTTCCCCCTACTTATCTTCCTATTAATTATGAGACATAAGATTTCAAGAGACTTTTCCAGTTATTTGATAAAGGCCTACCTAGCATGAACCCCAAAGAAGCACCTAATGTGTTTGCAACAAATCACAGTTGCTCTTCCAAATACAGTCCTTATTGCTGAGTTGACTGTAGTTTCTCTTCCACGTCAGCTGCTCTCCTGGAACTTCAACTCAAGGGGATGGCTACCTATTCCATAGGAAGAAAGAAGGTTAGGCCCATTTGCAAATCTAGTTCTTACTGTTTCTTCAAGACCAT